GTAGGAGCTCGTTTTGGTATGTATATGGTACATCAATAAAAAGTTATACGAAACCCCCCAAATCCTCACTGACCTCTCTCTGAGGGGAAGATGTTTCCCTGGGGCTGTTGGTCTTCATTCCTCCTTGCCCCAGCCTCCCACCTGGGCCTCCAAGGAAGTGGGGGACAGGAGAGGGTATGAAGGCAGAGAAAGCAGCCCTGGCAGGTGCTGGGCAGGCCCCGGGGGCCCTTCCTGCCTGTGGAGACTGAGGCTGGTCAGGCTGACTGTCCCAGGCCTCCTCAGCCTTTCTCAAGGGCCGGGCCCAAGAAGCCCCAGGTTGGGGGTCCCGAAGCCTCGCAGGTGGGGAGGGAGGATGTGGGGCCCGCCCTGCTGGAGCCAGGCTGGCTGGCCTTGGAGCGCTGGCAGGGGCTGGGGGTGCCTCCCGCCCTGCGCCCTCCCCCTCCGGGTGCCTCTACCCCTTCCGCTTCCAGAGGCCCCAGGGCTATTTTTAACTCTCCTGAGCTGCTGAAGGTGGACAGAACCTTGGGGATGGGAGAGAAGACCCAACACTCTTTCTGGGGTCCAGGTTTCCTGGGGGAACTGGTCATTCTTGACCTTAGAGGAGAAACAGCACTCCACCCCAGAAATATAGACATACAGGAAGGCCACGTAGATACCCCAAGGTTCACACATATGCCTGGGATACAGTCAAACACACACAGATGTGCATACACACATACACATGCAAGTGCAAGCACATGCCACAGCCCAGGAACATCCTTAGAAACATACCAGATGCACAGAGACTCGAAGGACAAATAGAGGGTCTCTCAGCCTCCCCAGACCCCTGAAAACACACACAGGCAGACACACACACACACACACACACACACGGGCACAGACAGGCAGACACAGAACAGATGCTGGGGTGCAGGAGGACCTGCAAGCCACATTCTAGACTGATGGGGGTGGGCCCTGCAGGAGGGCTGCTCAGCCCCCATGTACCAGCCACTTTCCCCGCAGCTGGCTGGGCCTGAGCTCCAGGGGCCTCTTGGCACCTTCCCACCCAAGAGGCCCCACTCCACCTCATCCTCCCCCAGGATGGGGAGCGGGCCTGTGACTGGAGCCATGAGCAGACTTGCACCCTCTTCCCCCACACTCTGGCCCTCATGCTGCTCAGGACAGGAAACCCAAGAGCGGGAAGGGGGAGTCAGCCCACGGACCTGTGGTCTCAGAGCCTCCTCTTCCTAGCCCTGCTCCCCACTTCCCTTCTCCTCCCCGGGCCTTTGTTCCCTGGAGCAGCCATCCCCCAACTCCGCGGGTGAACTGGAGTGTGTCCTGGAAAACCCCAGGTGCTGGACTGGGGGCCTCTGTCCCCTGCATCCGGATCCAGGGGAGGAGGGAGCCAGGAGGACAGGCGGGGCTCGGGACCCACTAGTGGGGGCGCAGCTGGCTGGCTTCCATGTCCCCTCCACCCCCACACCCCCACTGCTGCCCCTGGAGGCCCCGGAGGGATGGAGGAGGGCGGAGAGCTGGCCTGGAGGACAGGACATCCTCTTGGCAGGACACAGGACGCCAGGCCGGAGGTTCCCAGCCCCAGTCAAGGCCACGGGGGGAAAAGGTCACTGGGGCCTGGGTCTCACCAGTTCCAAGATGGGCCAGCTCCCTGATGGCCAGTCCAAGTTGCTGCATGTAAGTGAAGACAGCAGACCCAGCACCAATGAAACACATTGGTCCCTGATCCCCCACGCTGAGGGCCCTCTGGGCCAGGCAGGATGTGGACCTGCCCCCACCCCCACCCCCGGTGGCTCCAGGCCCAGGGCCCCTCCTCACAGAGCCCCACAGAGCACAGGAGAGAGGAGCAGGCCTGGGGGGCACTGTTACTTGCACTGTGGAGAGCCCACCCCCACAGAGGAACCGACTCCTCCAGGTGAATCTGGGGCCCACTGCCCTAGAGGCCAAATTTCAGGCTGGCCCAGCCCTCCCATCTCAGGACAAGAAGCTCATAAATAGTTGAGTGGGGGTGAAGGCCACAGAGACCCCTTGCTCCTGCACCCCTCCCCCTCCTACAGCAAAGCAGCAGACCATGGCTCCCAAACTGGCACCATCGGCCAGTGGTTGGAAGTCCACTGGTCTGGGAGCTGAGGGTTCCAGGAGGTCACCACATCCAGGCTGGCTAGGGTGAGTCCAACACAAGTGCTGGCTGGCCATTCCCTAACTCACCTGCCAGCAGGTTCTGGTTCCCTGGGTGGGAAGCAGATAAAACAGTCTATGAAAATGAGTCTCCTCAACACACAGTTTGAGTTTGGATCTGACTCTGCTCCGCTGAATTAAAATCACCAACGGAACTTTGCTCAGGACCCGAGGAATGGCCCCTCTGCCAAGGAGCCAAGGCCAAAAGCAGCTCTTACCACCCCCGTCCTTGGCACCTTCCCTATCACCTGCCTTAGGTTCCTTGATTCTGATTCAACTCACAGTCTTTACCTCTTTGTAAAAAATTAGACTTTATTGGAGTATTATTTATATGCAATGATATTCCCCCATATGAAGGGTACAATTGATGAGTTTTGACAAAACTATCATCATGTAACCACCCACACCATTACAGTATAGAACATTGCCATCACCCGCTACACCTCAGCCTCTTGGTGCTCACTCTGCTCCCGCCAGCCCTGCCCACCACTGATCTGCTGTCACTGTAGTTTTGTCTTTCCCGGGATTTCACATAAACAAAGCCACACAGGATGGGGTCTTCCAGACCTGGCTCCTTTCTCGTTCTGTGCATCAGCCATACACTCCTCTTTCCATTCACCAGCTGACAGACATCTGGGGTTTTCCTATGTGGGGCATATGACCGATGCTGCTGCGAATCTGAAGACAGCCCTAAGTGTGAGCATGTTGCATTGCTTTGGGGTAAATGCCCAGGAGTGGGATTGTGGGATCCTTCTGATGCTGGTTTTCTAAATTTTTGTGTCTGTTTTCGCTCTGCCCCACCAGGCTGTGTGCTCCCCAGGGGGAGAAATGTCACCTGTGTTGCTCACTGCCATGATCAGAGCCCAGTGCAGTTCTGTGCCAAGACAGTATTCACTGTGGGTATTTGTCCACCATGTGAGTGAATGAAGCAGTAACGGTGGTGCCTGGGATGGTGGGTTTGGTGATGCTGATGGGAAGTGATGATAACATTGAAGGTGGTGGAGGAGACGATGGGGAGGGAGGTGACCAGTTGGGGACAGTGACAGACTGCTGGCGCTGATGGGGGTGGTGTTTCTAATGGTGATGCTTAGAACAGCTTCCTTCACCCTCCTTGGAGATGCAATGTCCCTCTTTGAATGTCTCCTCCACCTCCTCACCTCCAAGACCTCCAGTCCCCCATGCCAGAGTCACATCTTCGAGCAGGCTGTCAGGCAAATGCACACCCATCCTGAAGCGACTCTTCCCACTGGCTCCCAGTATGGCCACACCCGCACTGCCCACAGCTGCGACATCTCACCAGGAACAACCCTCCTTTCTCCCAAACAGTCGGCCTCCCCCCTCTTTGGTTTCCTTCTTATCCTATTTAGATTTTATATTTTCTCTCAAAAATACCACAAGTGTTAGCATCCCCATCCTCTCCTGGCTTCTCTCTCTCCTTGCCTATACCTAAGCGGCTGCTCTCTACCAGAGAATCCACCAGCAGACCCTGGACACACCTGGTCCGCCTGCATTCCTCCCAGGTCACTGTGCCCTGCCTACTCCCCACCCTTCTTGCTGGCCTCCCTGCCTTCTGGAGCCTTCCTCCAGCTCGAGCCCCACGCCTGCCTCCAGGCCTCCTCCACAAAGCAGTGGCCGCTCAGAAATGCAAACCTGAGTCTGGAACATTCCTGCTGAATCTCATTGGCTTCTGAGTAGTGGCTTCCTCTCAAACCCCTCTTCCCAGTCAACCACACCCTACATGATCTCCATGAGCTTCCCCCCTCTTTCCTGTCCTCATTTCTGCCTCTGCTCCTGGGTTCCAGCCACACTGGTCTCACTTTTATTCCTCCAAGATGCTAAGTTCCTTTCAGCCCTAAGCCCCTCCCAAGGCCAGGCCCCCGCACCACAGTCTAACTCACAGTGAACTCACCACTTTCCTGGTCTCAGCGCCTGCCCGCTGTCCTGCCCTTCCCACTCCAGGTGGGCGACTACTGGGTGTTCCCTGCTGAAAAGCCCTTCTTCATGCTAAGTCCTTATTCTCCCCAGCAAGCACCATGGGGGCAGAGGTAGACTGCCCTGTCCCCAGCCACTTCGCAGCAGACGCTTCGTGAATAGTCCCTGTTGAGAAAGTGAGGGGGGGACTGGAGGCCAGTGATTCAGTTCATCACCAGGCGCACAGAAGGTGACTGAGGAGGAAGAACTAGTTTCCTCTGGGCCTCCTGGAATCCAAGGCAGGACACCAGGCCAGGCCCAGGCAGTGGTCATCACAGCCCAAGGGATTTGGGAGACTCCGGCCTGCTTGGGTCCCAGGCACTGCCTCGGACTTTCCAGGGGGCTTTGCCATGGAGGGCGCCAGGGCATTTCCTGCCCAGTCTCACACCCTGAGGCCCCAGCCCTGTGGCCCTGCTCCTTCCTCCCCCGCCAGGGGGGTTTCCACCCAGCCCAAGCCCTGCTATTTTTAGCTCAGGGAGCAGGACCAATCCTGGCCCCATCACTTCCCCCAGGGAGCCTGGGCAAAATGGGGGCTGGGCGCCAGAGGCTGGAGAGGTGGCGGCCTGGTAGCCCCTCCCTTCCTTGGCCCCCAACTCCCCAAGTCACCAGCGTACTTCTTGGCAGCCCAGGTGGCTAGTGCATGGGCCCCATGGGCAGGGGCTCCAGTCCTTGGGTGGGGTGGGCCCAGGGCCTGGGTGGGCTACCGCCCACTTCCTGCAGCCTCGCCCCAGCACTTCAAAGGCCGCTGGCGGCCCTGTGGTCACTCCCGGCTCCCACGCAGCCCAGCCGGAGGGGCGGGCCGGGCGCAGGAGCCCCGGCAGCCGAGTCCTGCCCCGGCAGCTTCAAAGTGCTGGGTGGGCAGCCCTGCGGTTATATCCCCGGGACAGGCAGTGTGAGGGGGGAGACAGGAAGGGGGAATAAGGGGCCCCTCTGCTTCTGTGTCCTCCCCACCCCACTACCTTCCTGGGTGGGCTTGGGGCAAAGGCCCAGACACTCTCCTGGCCCCAGATCCTGTCCTGGGGCCTGGACGCCTGGGGTGGAGATGCCCTGGTGGTGTATGTTGTGTGTGGGGTCCAAGTGGGCTCACCCTGGAGTGGAGCCCCCCTAGAGAAACCTCAGAAACCAAAGTGGGGGGCACCCGTCCTGGACTCCTCAGGGCCCTGGCTGAGCTGAGGGGGTGCGGCCTACAGCCTTTCCTTTCTCCCCCGTCCCCCCTCCCTTCTCGCCCCACTTTCCTGCCTGAAGCGGGGGCAGCTGGAAGGGGAGGGGACAGAGGGAAGAAGGGCCTGCCTGTCTGGGCCCTGGAGCGGCCCTGCCCCCACCCTCCACGGAGGTGGGCTGGACGGGCTGCGGTGGGCTTGACCTCGAGCCAGCTCCCCAGGGACCCGAGAAGTGAGAGGGGTGGGGGAGCCAGAGCCGGGAGCAGCAGACTTTGAGAACAGAGAGTGCCTGTGCGCAAGTGGGGGAGGAAACTTCCAGGGTCCCCTGGGGTCAGCTCCAGGACAGTTGCCATTTTTAATCTGCACAAGAGACTTAGAAGGAGCCGCGAGGGCTGTAACCTAGATCCGCTCCAGCCGCTCCCAGCAGTGCAGCCCAAGAACAGCCCCCTCCCCCTGCCGTGTCCCCAGACAGGCTGAGCGGACCCTTGTGGAGACCCCATCCAGGGGCTTCGGGGGCCTTGTGGGGTCCTGCCTACTCTGGACTGGATTTGTGCCCCACTCCCAGTCTCCAGACTCTTCCCCTCCTCCTCCATCTGGGGTGTAGGTGGAGGGCTCATGAAGGAGCTCCACTAGTGAGCCCCCAGGACTGACACCTGACCTAAGCAGAAGTCGGCTTCAGCCCACCCACTCAGGCAGGTGGGAGACCCACACCCCAGGAAGGATGGCCTAAGGCCACCCTTGGGCCTAAGGACAGCTACCCCTACCCAGTCCACACCCAGGCTGTCTCCTGCTCTCCAGAGGAGAGCTGAGGGTTCAGCTCCTGAGACCCCACCCCTCCCACCACGCTTCCAGCTTCTTTACTCTTAGGGTGACTGCCGAGACCCAGGCTGCTTCTGGGGGTGGAATGGGGGCTTCCCAGTAACAGTTTCCAAAGAGGAACTGCCACACCCCTGGGGCAGCAGGAGGAGGTGACCAGTGCTGGGGTGGGGACTCCAGCTCCCTCCAGTTCTCAAGGACCTCTGTGTGGGCCACCTCTTTGGAGATACCGCCCCCATTCTGTCTCACCACCAGGAGAAAAATGTTGATAGTTCTGTGTGAAGGAACAGGAAAGAGAGGCAACTTCTGTGCCCTCTGGGGACCTGGGCCCACCCCTGCCACAGAGTCTGAGTCCCCAGGAGAGATTCTATGGGTGGGGACCAGGGCTCCAGCTGGGGAGGCGGCTGGGGCAAGTGGATGAGAAGCCATCTCAGGCCTTCTACTCTGGGTCCCCTTTCCCACCACCACCACTGGTTTTCAGGGACCCATGCTGAAAACGTACCATGCCAACCCCCAAAACCTGCCTCCCAGGCCAAGCGTACCTTCTTTCCATCACCCCCAACCTGCATAATCTCCCCTTGCCAGAGCCACGGCTGGCTGAGATCCAGGCCATGGTTTCCATCTGGCCACCATGAGAGAGGCTGGCCAGTCTGGGGGTCCCACAGGTGAGGGGCCTCCCAGGGGCAGTAGGCAAAAAGCAGGTCTGGACTGCCTGACTGAGGGAATGGCTCCTGGTGCCTGGTCAACTGGTCAGGATCAGTCAACATTCATTAAACTTATACACAGACCAGCAAATACTGAACCACCACACTCCTGGCCATGCTGGGGAGCTCCCTACATGACTCAGGCCAGCACAAGCCTTTGAAAAAGCAATCTGGCATCCCCCACCACCCCCGGGCACACTCAGGACTCTGGTGAGGAAGCCCTGAGAGGGAGGGTCCTTGGGCAAGGGCACTGCTGGCAGCCACGGCTGAAGGGAAAGATCTGGAAATCTGGGTCCCCACCAGCAGAGGGGGCACTGGGGCATTAGTGTCTCGTGTGGAGAGGAGTGACTGCTGGCATCTGCAGGCATGCAGTGATGCTCATGAGAAAGGCCAACTGCCCAGCAACGTACACATGATAAAATACCCCACTAGCCGGGCCTGTGGGTGGACATGTCTGTGGGCAAGAAGAGAAGGTTATGGTCTCTGGGTACAAGAGAGGAGCCTGGTAAGGACTGTTAGCTTCCCTGCACCCTGCATGACTCATGGCAGGGAGCCCATGTGACACTGTGAATAACATCATGTAGCCAGCACCTTACATCAAAGCCTGGGGGGTGGCTGCAGCATTGGGAAGGATGAGCCCCCCTCCAGGGGCTCCCAGCCAGCAGTGTACCTGGAGTGTGCAGTAACGTTCCCAGTCGTGCAGGGGACCCTGGGGACCATCTTGGGAGCTGGGCTGTGTGCGGCCTGTGCACAATGCAGCCCCCAGGAGTGGTTTCTTTACCCTGACAGGGGGGCAGTGGGAGGGGAGGCTGAGACTGACCTGCAGGAAGGCAGGAGAGGGTGTAGGCGTGCATGGCTCCCCACAAACCCCGCCATCCGTGAGGGCGCCGGTAACTCTGTGACTCCAGATGTTCAGCAGCTGTCTTGGCCATTTCCGCCCTCCTCTGACCCCGCATCCGCCAGGAAGCGTCCCCTCCTGGCCTCAGGCTCCCAGCCACCCCCCACCTTCCCTGCACCCCATTTCCTGAGCAGAGGCGTTTGTGCAGACTCAGCTCCCCTCCCGTGGGGCAGCGGCAGCTTTCCCAAGGACAGCACTGCCTCAGAGCCTGGACGCCCCTGTGAGGGCTCTGATTCCACCCCCGCACTCCAGCCTCTGGGACTGGTTTTCTTTCTCTCCTTCCTTCCTTCCCTGAGGTTGGCAGCCTATATCAGGGCCTCTGGGGAAGCTGAGCAGAACTGGCCAGGAGGGAGCCCTGCTCACCAGGGGAGGGCGGAGGCCAGAGGTCAGAGAGCCCAGCCGACCCAGGCTGAGGCGGTGGGGGGGAGTGCATGCTCAGATGTCGCCTGGTGGACACTGCTGGGTGGCCTCTGGGCCACTGCTGGGTGGACACTGCTGGGTTCACAATTCCACCTTCCCTGAGCAACTGGGACACAAGAGGCCACTGTGGCTACAGCTGGTCCAGTCTAGTGGGGTCTCCTGGAAAGGAGACAGCTGGAGGAGGGCTCCTTTCTTGTCACGTGCCTTCCTGTCTTAACAGAGCTGATGGTTCTGGGGCATTTGGGCTCCCATGGGCTGGGGGCAGGGCTGGGGGTCAGGGCTCAGGCCAGACACAGGTTAAGGGCTCTGGGGGCGGGGACAGCAGCTCCAGCCTGCTGACCTCTGCCCCCTCTCCTCCGAGCTTCCTGCTCCTCCAGGGGAGCCAAGGGCAGATAGGTGGGCCTGGCCAAAGGAAAGCCTCTATTTCCAACCAAGATGGGAGGCTGCCCCCAGGAGGGCACTGGTCCTCCGCACCACACCTGTCTTTGCGGGACCATCCTGCAGTATGCCCCACTGCATCCTCTGTGTCTGCCGGGACTCGGACTGAGGACGCCACAGGGCCTCTGCTCTGCTGCTGGGGTTGCTCCTGAGGGCTCACAAGATGAACCTGGAGCCTCTGAGTCTGCACTTTCCCCCCACCCCCCATGCTAGGATATGAGTTTATGAAAGAAGTTCCTAGGAGAGGAAATGCCCACATCCTCCCCAAGGTCCCATCTCTACCTCTGACCTCAGGGCCGGGTGGACAGCTCAGAAGGGCCAGGACCACCCACTCCCCTAAACAGCTGTGCCCATCACCTGACCCAGGTCCCCCCACTGCCCCTGCTGCCACCCAAGATGCAGGAGAGAGGTGAGGTGGTTACAGGGCAGAAGGAATAGGAGTGGAGCCCTTGTCTAGGGGGACAGTGGACCCTGGGCCACCCTCTCGGGTCTCAGGACCTAACTGATGAGTGAAACAGCCCAGAGTGGAACAGGAGCTGGATGATCAGAAAGATCTGGACTTCAGGGCCTGGGGGGAGGCGTCCTGGGGGTTAAGTTTCCAGACTTAGCAAAAAACCAGGATATCCAGTTAGAGTTGAACTTCAGATAAGCAATATTTTCATATGAGTATGTTCCATGCAATGTTTAGGACATACTTATACTCAGAAAGCTTCGGTTGTTTGCTTGAAATTGAACTTTAACTGGATTTTCTGTATTTTACGTGGCAATGGGGGTGGAGGATGGACATTCAACCCTCTCAGCTCACTCACTGCCTATTGACCCCTCCTGCCCACAAACCCTAAAGGACAGCAGTGATCTTTAGCTCTGCTTCCCAAGCCAGGTGGTGGCTGACTGGGCCAGCAATGCCTCCAACTCAGCTGCACAGAGCATTAGAGCAGAGCAAGCTTGGGCCTGGAGCCCCTCCCCAGAGGGCTGGGCTCCAGGCCTCCTGGGTTCCAAGGAGTGGGCTGGGTTTGCCAAATTCCCTTTTAGGTCCATGCAACTGTTGAAGGCGCCCCAGGAGCCTGGCTCTTCCCTGCCTCCCTGGGGACTCTGTCTCGCCCTCATCAGGTGGGCCAGCTCTCACTGGTGCAGGACAGAAAGGAGAACCCAATAAAGCCTTCCAGAAAAGAGGAAGGGACAGCTTGTGGGGTGGTTTCTGGGGGAGGAGAGCTCAACCAGGGGCTCAAAATGAGGAACACTGGCCAGGAAGGACCCACCTGGAGAAGGTCATTGCCTCTGCAGGCGCCAGTGGAAAGAGGATCCAGAACAGGCGGGGGTTTCCAGCCTGCGCTCACCCCTTCCTGGGAAAGAAGGTGCGGAGGGCCGGGGCGCAGGCAGTGAGCAAAGAGCCCCAGCAGCTAGCCTCCACTGCTCCCTCAAGGACTTCCTGAGCTTTGCCCCTGCCCCTGGAGTGCTGGGCAGAGAACCGCTCCTCCAACCCACTCTCCTCTCCCTCACTCTGCCTGTGGGGGAGCCGGGGCCCATGTAGCCTTTTCAGACTCTCACAGCCTGATCCCCAGCGCTGCTTCCCCCTGCCTCTGGTCCCTCTCTCACCAGGGTGGGTACTTTGGAAGGTGGGTGGGTGGTTCTCACAGCAAGCTGGTTCAAGGTGGTGGGCGGCCCTGCATTTTTCTCAGTGAGACCCAGTAAGAGGTCAGCACTGTTGATTTCCGACCTGTGTGTCCACCTACAGCTCAGGGAGGAGGGGGTGGGGCGCTGCTCAGGCTTGGGTGGAGGTGGGCTTGCCCTTAGGTGAGAGGCTAATGAAATCTCGAGGATTCGGGTCAGAGAAGGCCTGTTGAGGCTGTGGCTGCGCCGAGGTCCTGAGGCTGTGTCCTGGGGGGCGGGGCAGAACTGGGTCCACCACGCCTGCGAACCCTTTGTGCGCCCACCACGGGTCTCTCCCCAGGCAACGGTGACTCACAAAGCCAGCCCGAGCCAGGCAAAGGCCGACTTCCCTGGGCCCCAGCGGGCTCAGGTCACAAAAGCCTCGAGGGCCAAGCCCCAAAGAGACATGTCCTGAGGCGGCCTAGCGCGTGCCTACCCCTGCCGCCGCCCGCTGGGCCGGGCCTGGGCCTCCCACCACCACGGCGACCCCGGGCCAGTGACTGGGTCTTAGGGCTCGGTCAGCACTCAGGGCCTCGTGCCCATGTGCGTGGTCTGCTTTGTGAAAGCGCTGGTGCACGTGTTCAAGATCTACCTGACAGCCAACTACACCTACAACTTCCGCGGCTGGCCGGTGGACTTCCGCTGGGATGACGTGCGCGCCGCCGCTGGGAGCGGCAGCAGTCACCGCGCGCTGACGTGCGCGGCGGCTGCGGCGGGCGTGTGGCTACTGCGGGGCGCAGCGCTGGGCGAGGAATCGCCGGTTCGGCCGCCGCGCGCAGTGCGCAGCCAGGCGCAGTGCCTCCTGCAGCAGATCCGCGAGCTGCCCAGCCAGCTCGCCAGCTACGCGCTGGCCCACTCGCTGGGCCGTTGGCTTGTGTACCCCGGCTCCATGTTCCTGATGACACGCGCGCTGCTGCCGCTGCTGCAGCAAGGCCAGGAGCGCCTGGTGGAGCGCTACCGCGGCCGGCGCGCCAAGCTGGTGGCCTGTGACGGCAACGAGATCGACACCATGTTCATGGACCGCCGCCAGCACCCGGGCAGCCACGGCCGCGGCCTGCGTCTGGTCATCTGCTGCGAGGGCAACGCCGGCTTCTATGAGATGGGCTGCCTATCGGCGCCGCTGGAGGCTGGCTACTCGGTGCTGGGCTGGAACCACCCGGGCTTCGGGGGCAGCACAGGCGCACCGTTCCCTCAGCATGATGCCAATGCCATGGACGTGGTGGTCAAGTACGCGCTGCACCGCCTGCACTTCCCGCCCGCACACGTGGTGGTCTATGGCTGGTCTATTGGCGGCTTCACGGCCACATGGGCCACCATGACGTACCCGGAGCTGGGCGCGCTGGTGCTCGATGCCACCTTCGACGATCTCGTGCCGCTGGCCCTGAAGGTCATGCCCCACAGCTGGAAAGGGTTGGTGGTGCGCACGGTTCGTGAGCACTTCAATCTCAACGTGGCCGAGCAGCTGTGTCACTACCCTGGGCCGGTGCTGCTGCTCCGGCGCACACAGGACGACGTGGTCAGCACCTCGGGCCACCTGCGCCCCCTGCCGTCGGGCGTCGTGGAGGGCAACCGCGGCAACGAGCTGCTCCTGCGCCTGCTGCAGCACCGCTACCCAACTGTGATGGCGCGCGAGGGCCTCGCCATCGTGACCCGCTGGCTGCGCGCAGGCAGCCTGGAGCAAGAGGCCGCCTTCTATGCGCGCTACCGCGTGGATGACGAATGGTGCCTATCCCTGCTGCGCTCCTACCTCACGCGCTGCGAGGACCAGCAGGAGGACGAGGAGGCCTGGGGGTCGCATGGGCTAGCCTTCCCCTGGCTAGTGGGCCAGGGCTTGAGCCCGCGGCGGCGGCGGCAGCTCGCGCTGTTCTTGGCACGCAAGCACCTCAAAAACGTGGAGGCGACCCATTGCAGTCCGCTGGAACCCGAGGACTTTCAGTTGCCCTGGAGGCTGTAGACCGTGCTTCTGCAGGTCCCTTCCCCACCCCCACCCCAAACCAGTAAAGCTGGCCCTGCCCTGGATCCCGACCTGGTGTCTGGCGGAGGATGGGGGAGTGCAAAGGGATCTTGCACTCTCTCCCACACTGGGGTGTCCCCTCTCTCCTGTCTCTTTTTCTCTCCAACACTTGTGAACCGTTCCAATCTGCTCCCAGCTGGTAAAGGGAATGCAAAGATTAACCTGACCCAGTTTATGGGAACCCTGTGTGATCGATGCCTTGGCACCTGGAGAGGGTGGTGGGAACACAGGCTATGGGGCGCCAGGAGGCATCCTTCACCTGGCCTGGGTTTCAGGATGACTGAAAAAGATGCATGTTGAAGGGTCTGTGAAAGTCACTCGTAACTACGAAAGGACATTGGCTTTGGAAGGGCTGTGACCTCCTCAGGAGTGCAAGTGCAATGCTGCTGCTTCATAGGGTTCCTCCACCCCACTCCTGGCCTCTATAGGATGGGGTTCACCTTGGAACCACAGATTCAGAATAAGTGGCATGTCCTGGTGGGACTACAGACACACCTGACTGACCACTCATTGCTTTGTTCCTGGCTCAGGGATGCCATACAGAATGAAAGACAGGCCCTCTGCCCACCACCATCTGTAATATAGTTGCTTCCTTACCACCTCCCCTAAATTGAATGAGGCAGGGACTACCAGCTGTTCCCAACCGCTGGGATAGAAGCTGGCCAAGGTGGGTTCAGCTAGAAACTGGAAAAACTGAAAGAAGATAAGTGGGGCAGGCATGTAATAGACAACAGCAGAGCAGGACCTGGCCTGGATGCACCTGGGCCAGTGCAGGCAGAGGCAGGTAACTAGGGTGACCTAAAGTACCAGGAAGACCTGTGGGTAGGTGAGCTTGGAACTGAGAGAGTCACCCAGGAAAAGGAAGGAGCTTCCTTCCTAGGGATCAGCACATGCAGTGACTTGGCTGTTAGGTGGAATGCTGTCCAGAAAGGTCAGATCCTTGAGGGTTTGAATACCACTAAATGGTTGCTTGCAGAGGCAACTAGGTAGCCAAAGAAGGGTAGGTAGTTGTGGGACTTGTTTTAGTGGGACCGGGTTGCCTCATGGCTACATACCTCTTCTTTGACAAATCTAGGAAACTCTTCTCCAGAGTCATCTGGAAGCAACTCAACTAGCTGAGTGATGGCAAATAACTCTGGCCTCAGTTTCCTCATATGCAAGGGTGAGGACCCCACCTGGCTCACCAGGTTGCTGTCAAAAGGAAGAGAACACAGTGCCGAGGGTGGGCGCCTCCAGCCCGGAGAGGGAACCGGTGGTCATGCCTTTTTTCGTGCAATCCCCATACGCTTAAAAATCTCTACAAAAAGGAAGGATTCAAAAAGAAAAAGAATCCCAAAGTCAGGGGGTCAGGTCTCAGAGCGGCCTCAGTCTGACCCGCCAAAGTAAGTAAGCCGGCAGTGGCAAACACGCTGGGGACCTCCAGCACGCCCAGCTCCAAACTCGCATAGCCCGATGAAACACGGTCCTCCCACTTCCCACCTTCCTCGAGCTCCTCAAGACCGTTCTACCTGTGTTTCTCGCTGGTGGACCGGCCTCTGTTTCCGACTTCGTCCGCAGCCTCGGCCAATCAGGTTGAAGAGGAACGGGGCCAAAACACTCTCTCTTTGGACACTGCTCGTAGGGGGCGGGGCGAGGGCGGAGTGCACGTCAAAGCGGAAGTGGGTCGTCGCGCTGCTGATTTCGTAAGCCGCGGCTGCTGAGGAGGTTCCGCTGGCTGCTGTGTACGCGGCGAGTTACACCTGGTGCGGCCCGCTCGGCTCCCACTGCGCCCTGCTCGGCTCCCACTGCGCCCTCGAACCGGGTCTCAACGCCAGCTGCGGCCGGGTAGCCATCTAAACATGGACTCCGCCGGCCAAGGTACCTGTGGGCCTCGCGTCGCGTTCTGGGCTCTGGGCCTCTCTGCCTGCGCCCTCCTACCCCGCTGTCCCTCTTCAGCTCCCAGGTGCCTGGCCTAGAAGCTGCAGGCAGACGTTCCGCCCCCGGCTGGGACTGCTCCGAGCACTGGTTACCCGGCGCCTTTCCGTCGCCCCAGAGTCTTGGGTTTCGTCACTACGCCCCCGCCCAACGCTTGCCCGGCGGGCCGCCCTCAGATCCTGCGCAGGGCCCTTGGGGACACTCCATCCGGCCCTGGACGCGGGCCGAGGTGCCGAGCGGCGCCATAGGGGGGGGGGGGGTGCGGAGGGAGAGGAGGCAACGCCGCCCGCGCGTTGGGCGCAGCGCCCCTTGGGTGGCAACGCTGCTTGGATCCCAGCCTACCTCGGAGTTGTCTCGAGGAGGACGGAGTCAGGGGCACACCCAGCATACCAGGCCTCTTTCTGGAACAGACATCCCAGACCAGTTTGAGGTGGCCGCGGCGGGTGTGGAGCGGGCCCAGAAGCTTGAGATTTTGAGGACGTGATACAAGGGTGTCTTCCATCCTGCGGTTCTAGAGGGTGTGGTGATTAAAACTACGTTGATGGAACTTTACTGGATAATTTCAGGATGTTCTTCTACTGTTTGACCTGTATGGGCATATTAATTAAACATCAGAATTCGTCACATGCACTGGGTTCTGGTCATAGGAACGACAGAAAACACTTACTGAGCACTTGCTATGTACCAGACACCATACCAAGTCTGTTTCTGAGATATTTTTCCATTTTCAGAATAACCTGTTTAGATTGGTCCTTGTATTACCCCCATTTTGCAGATAGTTATACAGGCTGAACTGTGACTCACCCAGGTGAGGGGCTAGCCCCCAGTGTTGCCTACTGCACCAGCCAGTGCTTGTTCTCTGTAAGTCCTTTGGTAAGACACTTTCCTGCCTTGGTCTTCTGTAAGTCAGGGGGTCTTCCCCAGTGACTGGGCAGTGCCCAGCATGATTGGTGAGTGTACAGTTTCATCTGGGGGTGATTTCCGTGGGATCCAGTTTTAGCTTTATAGGTAGACACTACCAGTCTGTGAGGGTTGGTTTTTAAAAATAGAAAAGTTGTAAAGACTTTAAAGCATTTAATGAATTTAAGTATTAAGTAGGTTCAACATAGCAGATACAAACGATGTAAGTAAAACCACATTGGTTGATCTAAGTTAAAAATTTGGATCAATTGATTTAAAAGAGAACAAAACATGCTTCATATAGTGAACATCTCTAGAGCACCATAGAAGTGCCTGACTCCAGCTGTGTGGACATGTGAAAGGAATGACACAGCCAGCTAAGTAGAGCTTCTTTGCTTTTAAGTGTGTTTTATTTTTAGCAGACTAGGATTTCTAAAGTAGATAGGCATATCTGCAATTTAAGACACTTTTATTTCTTTGCAACGTTTATGCCTTTTTATTTATTTAGTTATGTGGCCAAGCCAATTGACTTGTATCTTAGTTCACTAACCAGGGATTGAACTCAGACCCTCTGCAGTGAAAGTGCAGAGTCCTAACCACTGGACCACCAGAGAATTCCCTTTAGTTTACTTTTAAGTGTGCCAAATACCATACAGAGCTTGTTTGTTCACAGAATGTGCTGATCAAAAAGGAAGATGTTTTCAGTGTTTGTACAACATACTAAACGATGGTCATGTGTTTGAATTGAAAAGAACTGATATAGACCTATTGTTCTTGTAAACTTTTAGTTCATACAGGAAAATGCATTTAATATGAAAAAAATATTTGATGCAGGGATTGAACCTGATTTGGATGTAGCGAGGTGTGTGAGGTAGTGTTCCCCCTGTGTCTTGCTGCAGCCTCCGTGCTAAGGAATGCGCGTTGAGGATGAATTAAACTGGTTTTGTTTTGGTGACTCCCCACAGGGCCTGGATGACTGTGTTCCTGTGTGTCATCTTAGCCTGTGCCCTGGCAGAGCAGCTGATTAGAAAATGGTGCTGACTGTGTTTACAGCTGTATTAAGTTCCTCCTCTTAATACATGTGCTGCCGAAGTGAGCACTAAGTTCCTTCTCTTAAAAAAAAAAAGGAAAATCTGTTAGCTCCAGCTGCTTTGTTTGTAGCAAAGATTTTCTGCCCATGAAGAGAGTATTCTACAGGAGAAACCAGATTTAGGGAATGGCTGCCTTGTGCCAGCATTTCTGAAACCTTAAGAAGCAACTTATATAAATGAAAAAAAAGAAAAAAGAAATAAAAGAAGCAACTTATGTTGTCTGAGATGTGGCTGCTATTTGTTTGGTGGCCACAGCCATCATTGTAGAACCTTTCAGAGAAAAGGCATTTTCTCCATATCCTGTCTTGCCCCTCTCCCCAGGGTGGGGCGGAATCTCTGCCCACTTTATTCGTCTGTGACTTCTTACTTGATGCACTCTGACCACTTATTTATTTTTTTTCTGACCACATTTTGTCTCTGGCAGATATCAACCTGAATTCTCCTAACAAAGGTCTGCTCTCCGACTCCATGACAGATGTCCCTGTGGACACAGCGGTGGCTGCCCAGGCTCCTGCTGTTGAGGGTCTGACAGAGACCGAGGCCGAGGAGCTCAGGGCGGAGCTTGCAAAGGTTCTGTGTCTTGGCTGTACGCTCGGGGGTGCTGTGAGGTCCTCTCTGCCTAAAAATGAGCTGGAGTGCTGGCTGTGCTCCAGGAAAATTGCCCTGGGAGCCCCACAGAATCTCTCCTCTGTAGCCTTGGCTTGTGTGTGTCTGGCACTTTGCAGGCTCTCTGTGAGGGGAGTGTCCACGGCTGCTCTAAGCACTCCATCTGTTGCGGGTTTCCCTTTTGGAGTAAACATGACATTTTCAAGATCCCACAGATGTATCTGCTCCTGGATCTTCATTTTCCTTCTTTTTTCATGTGATCTTTTCAAAGTGAGAGTTACTTAAGAAGAAATAGGAATTAAGAATAAAAGTCTCTGCATATAATTTTTATTCAAACCAACTGCCAAGAGTGTTTCTTTTTATGATGTGATACAGAACCTGATAGTGATTCATTTGAGATTCCAGAATCTGGGGCAGTGCACTTGTCAGCATCAGTCAGGCAGGGGTTGGAGCACACTTGTCGCAGTTCTCTGCTTCATCTTAGGAGACAAGCCTATCCTGATAACGCCCCAGGACCAGGTTTTAGAATGCAGAGGAAGCCATCCTTTCTGAATTGAGCAGAGGTTAAAGGAGAAGCAGCAAGAAATCCCAGGAAGCCTGTGTTTTGCTCTTTATTTCAGGACATACTGGTTTAGAGAATAAAACCACAATGTCTTTTTCAGAGGTGAATTGTAAACTGAAGACGCTCTCATGTTAAAATGTCAGCCTGTGGGTCCACAGGCTGTTAAACCCATGTGCCCACGACACCATAAATGGAAAGTTAATGTCACCACGTGTCACTGCTGGAGTGACTGGTAATAGTTTGGCCTTGGGCGATCATTGATTTTTAATTGTTTCTTCAGTATTTTCTAAAGCAAAATCTAGTGATTAGCCAGATAGGGCTCTAAGCGGCTGTTAATGCCTTAATCCAGACAATCACTTTTTAAAGAAAGGATGGTTTTTTAGAGTAGCTGTTCATGTAGAAGCTGAAACTATTGAGAATCTGAAACAGAATGGCTCTAAAGGATGCTTCTTTTTGTTGTCTACTCTTTAAGACATGAGAATGTTCTGGTCTTTTTTGTCAAGATTTTTCCTGTTGTCCAACTCAAACTACACTAAGCAAACAAGAATTTTCTTTCGACTTGTGTAAGTGGCTTTTGCCAAGGCTTGCAGCTGACCTTGGGAACACAGATGTCCTTAGGGTTGTTTCTTTGTCATGTGTTTCTCTGGCCATCCATCCGTCTGTCAGCTCTGCTTCCTTCCCTCTATGTGTGGAATTCCCCCTGGGTGCAGATGTGGCTTGCCTGCCTACCTTCCACCTTTTGTTACCCATGCCCAGACCCGGAGCCCAGACAGAAAGGGACTGCTGTCTTCACATACCCAGTCCGGACCTCTGACAGGCCTGACTTGCCATCTGTGGGTAGACACTCAGCTGAGGGGAGCAGGACAGTTCTCCAGAGAAAGTTGAGGTGCTGGTACCAAATACAAACAGAAGCGATGGCCACTGTAGACTATTCCTAAGACAAGTTATGTTTCTATAAATGGAGAATTCTCATGTGATTCTGAGAAACCCTCTTTGTAGCATGTATAAGGATGTCAGTCACTTCCTGCCATAGTGGTGGTTGAAACCTGGTAACTGCATGCTTTCGCAGGTGGAAGAGGAAATTGTCACTCTGCGCCAGGTGCTGGCAGCCAAGGAGAGGCACTGTGGCGAGCTGAAGAGGAAGCTGGGCCTTTCCGCCTTGGAGGGCCTGAAGCAAAACCTGTCCAGGAGTTGGCATGATGTGCAGGTCTCCAATGCGTGAGTGTCCGCTCCACCTGTTTGAGGGGGCCTTGAATCCTGGGGGTGAGGTGTGCCCCCTGGAAGCTGCCAGCTCATGGCCCTGAATCCTTGCCAGCAACCAGATCTGAATTTGGTTTACTCAGAGTTTAGAGTCTGCATGTATGGTTTTAAAAGGTGGTGAACATGCTAGTTGTCCCAGCAGAAATTGACAAGACTATGTTTCAGGGTCTAAATTGGAGAGAATACAAATTAGGTGCTTAATGAGACTGGCTTTCCAGTGGTCCCCATAGGTCAGTGTCTGCTGAAGTGGGCATGCGTCCTTCTTGTGAGCATGACGTGATCATGGCCCCAGAACCCCTGACCCAGCTCTGGATTTGGGGAGTGTAGATGTGTGGCTCCTCTGAAACATATTCTCCAAGGAGGCGGGGTGGGGTGGATGGGAAATGTTTCACATTGTCTGGAAGCTGTGTCCCACTGAAAGACCAAATCGAATTTCATAAATCTCACTTATGAAAAACCCAGTTCCCTGTCTTAGAAACTTAAAGGCTTTAAACCCAAAAGGTGGCTGTCAGAGTTGCGTTTGGGGCCATGGCAGTGCCCTTCTTGCTCCTCACAGCTATTCCCTGAGAGACAACTTCTGCTGATGGGGCAGGCCTGCCTTCGGCATGAGGAGAGCTAGCCAGGCCTGTCCATGCCTCTCTGACCTCACCCGGCCCGCTGACTAGGTCCTGAGCAGAAGCAGGCTGGAGAGCCAGTCTTCCTGCCAGCTGGTCCTTCTGTTTTCCTTGGAATTTCATCTGCAGTTTGCAACCTGTGTTGAAGTAGTTTTTCTAAATAATTTACCACAGACTTTCTGTTTTTAGCTACATGAAAACTTCTGAGAAACTCGGAGAGTGGAATGAGAAAGTGACCCAGTCAGACCTGTGAGTGCCTCCTCCCCTCCTGACACGGCTTTCAGGGATAGGAAGGCCAAGCACACTCAGTTCAGCTTATTAGCTGTGGTGTGTCTTGGCTGTTTTATTTTTCATATAATTTTATTTTTCTCAAACACAAAATATCCTTTTAAACTCTACTGGAGAAGAGTGCAGGCGCAGAAGGAAGTTCAGCCAGCAGATGGCACTGGGAACCCTCTCCTGACGTGTGTCCCTCAGATAAGAGGCCAGAGCGGGGCTCAGTCTGGTGACGGACTGGTGGTGCTCCCCTCCTGCAGACCTGGCTCTAGCTGTGGCGCTCTGGGGCTTCACTTGCACTGAGGGGTGGCTTTGGAGTCAGCACAGCATGGGCTGTGCGGGTCAGATCTTGAAGTAGCTCCTTTGGCCTGAGAGGCGAGCATAGAAACAGCCACACAGCAAAGAAGCGGGGCATGGAACCCTCATGGTGGCTCTGTCAGAGCTTAGGCCCAGAAGACTCCTGGCATTTTACTTGAGGTCCGTGAAATAGATAATGGCACTTCATTTATACCCTAGTCTGATTATATCCTTTGAACTGGGTGGTGCAGTGTTTTAAAATCATTTTCTGGGATGTCTTGCTTAGAAGGAACAACTGTGGTTGCCAGAAGGCATGGGCAGAAAGCCCTTCTGCGTTGGGCTGAAAGGAAACAGTTGCAACCCAGCTTGTCTTGGAGGTGCCTAGAAGCCCAGGTTGGCCGGCTGGCCATGGAGCCTTTGCAGCCTAGGATCGTGAGGGCAGCCGGGCACCAGGTGGGTCTGGCGGTTGGAGTTTCCATGCTGTTGGTGTGGCTTGGTAGGGTGGCCCCTGGATGGAGGCAGGCTCACAGTGCTGACTGAGGCTGAGAATCGTCTTGGAAGGTCTTGGTGCTGTTCTGGAAAGCCAGCTGCCAGGGAGCTGCTGGGGCACTGCTTCCCCAGATCACAGTTCTGACTCCTCTGAATGGACTCCATGGCTCTGGGTCTGTAAGTGTGGCTGGCAGGATTGGCTGTTTTCACGTGCTTCCTCATGCAGTGGCCATGGCCATGAGGTCTCAGCCCCAGATCTGTTGGGAGAGTTGTCAGGCCTGGAGAAGTCTCTGCAGTGACAGCGCAGGAGGCGGACAGCATGAGACAGCTGTTCTGCAGTCTCGGGGTGCCTGGCTGGTGGCTGCAGGAGGCCATTACCGGGATTCCTTGCCCACAGCCTCTGGAGGGGAAGGTGTGGCTGGAGCCAGCGCCTTGTCTTCCCTAATTCTTGTGGTTGTGGATCCCTTTCAGTGAATGAGAGTGTGGCCGGAAGGGAGGAAGTGAGGTGTTTGCAGCCTGAGTGCTCGGCTCTGGTGCAATGGTGCTGTCATGAGCAGGTTGATGCCATTTGGGGGTTTCAACCCAGCTGTTGATTCAGCAGCCATGCTCTCTATTGGTCATGAAGCGATCACCTCATGGGATCTTTTCTTAGGTAGATCAGAATTAAAATCGTGCTTAGAGTGAACATCAATGAATCTCACAGTCACTTATTGGCATATTAACCTATTTGGTCACAGGTGACAGAAAGTACGGCTACAGATAGTGTCAGCTTAGGAGGGAGGGGTAGACCTCATCTGGTGAGAAAGCCCCTCTCTAGGCCACCTGTGTGGGGTTCTGACCAGCACTCCCAGTGTGTGTCACCCCCCTTCAACCCTCCCCACAGTGAATATGTTCGCAAGCAGCTCCTCTGTGGTTAAGGGGGCCTGGTGAGGCAGGACTGTATCTTCCCATCCTTGTAGCCCAACAACAAGGTGGCTCAGCATGGGAGTCATTGGGACAGATCCCCAACCCCCCACGGGTCTGCAGGAGGTCTTCTCCCCGGAGAAGGAGCATCCCGGTGGCCCCTCCCTCTCACCGACAGTCAAGCAGCGTGGCATAGCCTGGTGCTCTCAAGCACAGGTTGGGCTGAGTTATTGGACGCAGACACATCCTGGCCTCTGCACCACATCTGTCCCAACGGGGTGCTGCCCTACGGAGTAGCCCAGAGTGGCTCTAGTGCCTGAGCACCCTTCTGAGTCGCCCTCTGGATGCTCCACTTCTATTGCCATGTCTTGCGAGATGCCAAGACAGGCCATGGTTTAGGGGGCAGCTCCGGGTGAAGGCACCATCAGGTCAGAGGGTGCCGGAGGGAACTGCAGCACAGTCCATCTGGAAACCCTTCGAGAGGAGGGTGTGGACTGTGGGTTTTAGTGCGAATCAGCTGGAGCCTAGAACAGACCTGTTCCTCCACTGGGGGAAGCTTGTCCAGGACCCAGTTGTCCAGATCCTTGGGTCACTGGACAGGTTGGTTGGATGTTGAGTTCCTGTTCATTTTAGTTCTGAGATTGTGTCAGACTGTCACTGGGAGGGAAGAATTTTTGGTTGTCAGGTTTTTTAAGGCCTGGAATGAGAATTAGACGTCTTATTAGTTATTGAATTCAAAAAACCCAGAAGCATAGTCTTCAGCAAGGATTTTGGAACTTGTTTTCTACCTGCTGTTAACAGTATGTTCAAGAATTACTGATCTTCCTGGAAACTAAGATAAACTCTATGCCTTAGTGACTTCAAGGTATTTCCAGACTTGCTGGGAAGCAGTTCATGCTTTGAGGGCCAGGCCCCGCTGTGCTGTGAGGGGCCACTGCCCAGAGGAGGAGGCCCTCCAGGGTGCTCGGACCAGGCTGTCCCCACAGGATGGGGAGTGCAGGGGTTGAGGCACAAGGCCGGCCTGAGGGGTGTGGGCAGCAGGTGCTCACATCGGGGCTCTTGCAGGCAATGGTTGGGGGTAGATGTGGAAGGGGGCCAAGAGCTCCCAGCCAGTGCCATCCAAGCCCACCCCTGTGACCTGGGATGCCAGGAAGGCTGGAGTTGGTGGGCACCTCTGCCATGTTGAGCTCTCTTTTCCTTGGGGTGCCAAGTGGGCTCAGCAGGAGCCTCTGGGTTTAGGCTGTTGTGTCTTCTGTTTGTGGTGGGGGCTGGCAGCTCAGGGTTGGCCCAGGGGTGTCCTTGCCGTCCCTGTGGCCCAGGCAACCCACTGGTGCCTGTCCCACAGCTGTCGAGGTCACAAGCTATCTTGTGGGTGGGTGGGGCAAGAGATCTCCACAGGGTGCCAAGACCATCTCCTTGAGCCAGAACAGTGGCATGAGGTGGAGCTAGGTCTCCCCATTCTCAAAGGACATGGTAGACACAGAACAGGAGGGCTGGAGGGGCTGCTTGGGGTCTGAGGGCCAGCCGGGCACCACCCGTTTGAGCTGCCAGGCTCAAACCCTATGGGTGCAGTCGAGCTGTTCTGTCCTCAGAGGACTGCCTTGGATAAGAGAAAAGAGAAGCCGTGTGAGGCCCCTAGGGGCTTGTGTGCCTGAGCTCTGTGGGCTTGTTTGCTACAGAAGTCGGGGAGGTAGAGAAGTGAGTTTCCACAGGGGGAGGAGGAAAGCCTGCGTTATAGGAAGAACAGAAGACAGGGTTATTGCAGGGTGGGTGCAGTCATGACCTGGCAGTGCTGCTCTGTCCATATGCAAGTCCCCTCCCTGGGGGCCCGGGTTACTGGCCCAACCACCCCCTCTCTTCTCTGGTCGCCTTGTCTGTGGCATACGGGCTATGACTGCACCTTCTGTATGGTTCACTTAACCACTGTTTCTCCTTCCAGCTACAAGAAAACCCAGGAAACCCTGTCTCAGGCGGGTCAAAAGACCTCAGCGGCCCTGTCCACCGTGGGCTCTGCCATCAGCCGGAAGCTTGGGGACATGAGGTGAGACTCCCTGGTCTGACACCTCTGCCCTGAGACCTGGGCCGAGCAGGTGGGGTTCTAGGGTGTTTAGATCCATTGGAGGGTCTGGTCTGCAGGAAGCCTGCCAGAGTAGGCAGATGCACCTACCTCAGGTGCTTCTCAGCACCCACAGGTGTGGCCACACCAGCCCCAGACCAGTTAGTTCACAAACCTGCCTCTACTGGCCTCTCTTTGCCATTCCTTTTTCTCGTGGTGAGTCGTGGGGAGGTTCCTGTGCCCGTGGGTGACTGTACTTGGGGTTGGTGAAGGCTGTGGTTCTTGATGACATTCATGGAGGACAGATGATTCTGGCCTGGGGGCAGTGGCAGCATGGACAAGTCAAGGACAAGCATGGTGTGTTTGCCTGGCTTGCTCTTGAGAGCGTGTGGCTGCATTCTGGGGCCCCCAACCAAGCAGTCTGTCTTGGAAGTGGATAAGACCCTGGGGGCTGCCTGAGTGCCTCTGAAGCAGGCCAGGGGAACTGGAGGCCAGCATGCAGCAGTGCCTGCCCCAGCCTGATGGCTATGACACTCCCACACCAGACTCCACCCTGAGTTTCATGCTCTGGGCTCTGCTGTTGCCCCTCAGGCCTTCCTCTGGGTTGTTGGGGTGAATCAGTGAGAGCAGCGGGCAGCATGGATCAGCCCCCTCGCCAGAACCCTGGGCTTGGCCCTGGGTTCTGCTGCCAGCCCTGCCCTGTCCCCTCACAGCTGATAATCCCATGGGGTTGCTGTGGGCCTGGCCTGCTGAACTTCGTGTTGAGGGTCCGCCCAGCCCTGTCCCTTTACTTCTCACCCTTCCTGCCTGTGTAGAGTACGCATTTCCCCACCTCATGGCCTGAGGTCGTCTCCTGGGCCTCAAGGTGGGAGCCCTGCCCTGGCCACTGGGCCACAGGCACTCACCAGCCCCGGGACTCACCCAGTTGTGCAGAGGACAGCTGGTGCCCAGAGCCATGATTACCTTTTATTCTTGATCGTTTGGTATCATTATACCTCTTCACTCCCTCACCCTCAGCTTTTTATTTTGAAAAAATTTAAACCTTTGGAGAAGCTGAACAGTCAAGGGGCATCCATGCCTCAGGGGTACTCCCCCTGCACTAGGGGTCCTTGCAGACTGCCCTCACATGCAAGCCTGGCCCATGGTGACAGTGACTTGGACACAAGAGGGACCCCCAAGCGGGGCTTTGCACAGCGGCCAGGAGGGCCTATGGCCATCGCTCCCCCAGGCTTTGCACTGCTCAACATGTCCTCCTGGATGAGTCTCAATTGGTGCTGGGTGGGATGCCCATTGTGGCCACCTGAGCTGGGCGGAGGAATGCCTGGCAGTGAGCTGGTCACATGCCCCTCGTGGCCAGGCTCCTAGGGCCTGTCACCAGGTGGGGGGCGATCCTGCTTATGCCTGTTCTTTGCTCCAGGGGCCAGGCTGGTGATAGAGCATCTGAAGCAGGTGACAGGATTGCTTTGTCCTCTTCTAGGAATGTTCTCTTTGACTTGCGGTGTCATGCCCTCGGGTTCAGTGTTCTCACTGTCGCACATGTTCAGAGCATCCTAGGTGGAAGTCAGGTGAGAGGGTAGAACCTCTGGTGCAGGCGAGCCCGCTGGGCAGTTCTCACACATGTGGCTTCGCTCTGGGAGGACAGAGCTCAGTGTGCCCCATTCTGCTCAGAACCCAGGGTGGCCCTGTTGTGGCTGGTGCTGTGTCTGCCATGTGTGAGCCCTTCCAGTGGAGGAACCAGCCCCTGATCACGGTTCCTGTTGGCTGAGGTCTCATCCTGAGGCCCCGTGTGCCTGCTGCTGGCTTTGCTCTTGTGATCCCAGTGCTGCTGTGAACTGAGTCTGAGGGGCCCGTCCATGTGTCTCCATTGCCTCACACATGGTCTCGGGTGGCTTGAGGTCGAGGCCCGTTGACCTCTGTGGTTTGGAGCTCGAAGCTGACAGAGTCTCCACTTCTTGACACAGAGAACCAGGCCCAGGGGATTTCCCTCGAAAGTTGAGGGTCAGGCGCTGCTCTGTCCTTCAGGACAGCAGTCCCCCGGGTGTCTAGAGGGGCCCATCCAGGAGCAGGCCATTGAGTGGCTTGCTGCATCCCCAGGGAAATGGATTAGCGTCAAAGGCCCAGTTAGAGTGAGGTCGGGCCTCCATCCGGCTAGGTGACCTTTGATGAGACATGCACCTCTTCTCACTATCAGGCTTGTTCTCCTGCTGAGCGGAGTAGGTCCTGCTGCCCAGCAGAGCACGACAGGTGCCTCAGGCCATGTGACTGTCACTTCTGAAATGATCTTCATGTTGGGGTGGCCGCCAGGGTGGAGGGGGGAGCCGTGGCCCCTTCCCCCCCGACCCCATCGGCTGCCCTTGCATATGATCTGGTTTTTTGGTTATCTTCTGTTATCTGTGTTGATGCAGCCAAAGCGTGCAGTGCTTGGGGGTGTTGCAGGCCCTGTCGAGGTGGCGGGGGGCACACTGGCCCGGCTGGAGTGTAGGCTGATGGGGTCCCAGGTCCTGGGTGAGGTACAGACCCTGGGGGCAGAGGAGTGCCTCACGCCGTTGCTCTGCTTGTTTCACCGGGTTCCTTCTCTCCAGCCTGTGACGGAGTCAGATGAAAGGTCCCTCATATGTGACTGTGTGAGTGAGAGTGGGGCAGAGGCTGGACAGGAGCACGTGTCCTCCCCCGGCGGGGTGGTCTCGAACATGGGACCGGGGTGGGACGGGACGCCCCTCCTAACGCTGCCTCTCTTCTCTCTTCCTGCTGCTGCCCCTCAGGGCTCGGCCCTTCTCACACTCCTTTAGGTAAGACTGATACGATATTGCCGGGCAGGGCTGTCTATGCTTCAGGGTTGGGAGGTTCTAGCCCGCCCTAGGGGACTGTGTGGATGGTGGGGGCAGCACAGCAAGGTGGTCACCATCACTGGGACTGGTGCAGGGCTCCTCCCCTGGTTGTGTAGCTGGCTGGGTGCTGTTGCTGCCCACTCTAACTCGGCCTCACAGGGTAGCTGTTGGCCCGCCCTGACTCGTCATGGGAGGGGCTACACTGGCCCTTGAGCCATCGTGTCCCCGTGTCTTCTTCCCCCAGGAGTGGTCCTGCCCTTGACAGGGAGCTGGTCTCCTTTCCATCCTTGGGCTCTTGGTCCCCGGTCAGACAGCCTTCTGAGTGTCCTTTAGCTCATGTTGATCAAGCCGCTTCTCCTGCTTGGAGGCCAGGAACTCCAGAACAGTCATGACTTTTGATATTCATACTTCGCCTGCTTGTTTTTCTGGGACTTGCTGTGAAATCACATGGGTTGCTTGGTGGCTCTTTGCATCAGAAATATTTTTAATGCCTAGTCTGAGGGCATCCTGTCCTGGCGCCTTCCCCCTACAGTGCCACACTTCTGGGGCCATGCAAGGGGTACCAGGGTCAGTTTTCCTGGTTGGAGGCGGGGCTTGTGAGGCTTCTCTGTTCTTCACTGGTACTGGGGGTGGGGCTCAGCTTCCTGCACGGGGAGCCGGTCCTCTCCTTGCCTTAACTCTTCCTTCTCTGCTCCTCCCACGCTTCCAAGCAGCAGCCACTCCATCCGCCACTCCATAAGTATGCCGGCCATGAGGTAACGTGCTCCTGTGCCCCACAGCTGCCTGAGCCTGCTGGGACCCCACTGGGAGACTGGTGGGAGGGGGTGGCTCTGGCTGCTTCATTGCACATCCCCCACACCCCCGACCAGGAACCACCTTCCCCTGTCAGTCTCTGGCTCAGATTTGGGAGACACCCCTTCTAGGCTGCAGAGCTGGTGGGGGTGAGGCCCAAACTGGGCTCTACGTGGGATTCTCCAGGGCTGCCCTCAGGTTGGGCTGGAAGGGGCAGGGAGGCTTGCACACACCAGAACCCAGGAGGCTGCCAGGGGTCTCCAAGCTTTTTACGGAGACTGTTTATCTTGAGAACAGCCAGAGCCATGGCCTGTTCCTCCTCGAAGCCCCCACCCATGCTCTCCTGCTCTATAGTGCAGCCTGGGTCCCCACAGAGCTGTCTACCTCCCCTCCCTGAGCATGCCTGGGGGTCACTGACAGGCTGCCTCTGGTGGCCTGGGCCTGGGGAAGGGGTAGGGCGGGGGACCTTGGCCTGGCCTGCCTGCTTCTCTGCCTCCTCACCGCTCTCTGCTCTTAAAATGGGCCTTAGTTTTCCTCTTGCTCGACTTCTGTGAGAGATCTGTGTGAAGAACATGTGGGACTTTCAGTAACCCCAGGATGTGTGCACTTAGGGTGCAGCAGAATCACATGCTCAGCATCCTCCTCCGTCCAGTCGAGGGGTCTGCTCTTCGCCCACATGAAGTCTGGGTCTCACCAGCTGCTGGCATGCAGATCCTCTGTCCTGCAGTTGGTGGGTGTGGCTGATCTCAGTTCTGTCTTAGGGGAGCCTCCAGAACGTGTGTGTCCCCTTACCTTCTTTTGGCTTGTCACGTTTTTACAGTGAGACCTGGGGATCTCTCTAGGGTCTCTCCAAAGGATGACCCTAACCCCAAGGCCCTTCACATTTAGGAGGGCACACAACCACATGTTCCTTACAGTACTGACATCTTTTTCTCTTTTTAAAGGAATTCTGCTACCTTCAAGTCATTTGAGGACCGAGTTGGGACCATCAAGGTAACTGACCTGGACCTGGGCTACCCAGTATGCTGGCTCAGGGCCTGTCACTCGTCATGTGGGTTCACGTGCAGTCACAGGAACTGATACTGAGAGCCCTTGTACCCTGTGCGGTCTCCCGTGGTGACATCCAGCAGTGTCACAACCAGGAGAGAGCGCTGTTGCAGTCATGACAGAGCACAGTTCATCCCCACGGAGACCACAACCTGCCTTCCCCCACCCTACCCTGGGCAACCCCTAATCTGCTCTCCATTTCTGTCGTCTTGAGAAAGTCATACAGTACATGACTGCATGCATCAGTGTGCAGACTTTGGGGCCTGGCTCTTTCTACTCTTATTCCTCAGAGTGACATCTAGTCTATTGCCTGTGGTAGTGGTTTGTTCCTTTTGTTGCTGAGTGGCGTTCACATTACATACATTCCCATAGAAATTGACTCTTTGAACTCCTAGGAGGGGCATAGGTAGGATCTGTCATGTATGTGCCCTGTCTCATGCTTTTCTCTCTTGGTCTTTCCCCATCTGTAGTCTAAAGTTGTCGGTGGCAGAGAGAATGGTGGTGACAACCTTCCCTCTCCAACGGGGAGTGGTGACAGACCGTTGCCCGATCACATACCTTTCTAAGACTGTAGCGATTTTGCCTGGCCATGGAATAAGCACACCCTCATCGCCACAACTGCAACTTCGAGTGGTGGGTGTGGAGGACAATTATGCCATCCCCATGGAGACGTGGTCGCCGCACTCGCATGGGTCAGAGAACACGCCTTGTCCACAGATGCCTCCCCCTCTGTCAGATCAGCAGGTCATTTCGCCATCCTGCCTTAGGGCAGGGAGTGGGCCGGATGGTGGGTCCCAGGGTGACTGAGCCAAAGCCAGGCTTCTGTTGGGAATCTCTTAGTTGGTCAGCATGTTTAAAGGGGGGAATGTGATAAGTGTAAAATGCGCTGTGTTTTCCGAAGTCTTTCCATAAGTCACAGAAGGACGAGTCATCCAGAAAGCCCTGCCTGATCTGCAGTTTAATTTCAAAATGCTAAACAGGAAGACTATCCATGTTTTGAGACCTTCCAGAAAGAAGCTGATTATCAGCAGCTGCCTAATTGTTACACTAACAATCTAGCTTTAACAAAAGCAAAGTCTTTATTTTCTATAAATGCAGTGGGTTTTTCAAAAAGTAAAACTAAGCGAAGCAGCTTTAGCCTCATAGTTAGAAAGTATTTCTTTGGACTCAAGCTGAAATGCACGCCTTACATCGCCTTATGCTTTGTTTATAATGTTTTTATATACAAACGAGGATTCTTTAGTGGGTTTTGAGCATTATGTAAAACCCTGCATCCAGCCAAGGGGCAGCACGGCTGTGCCAGTGCTGTATTTTATTTCATGAGTGCACTCCATCCCTGTGTAGAAACTGGCTTCTCTCCTCTTGGTGACCACAGCAGCACCTGCTGGCCAGTGGGGATGGAGGCAGGAGAAAGACCAGCCCCTCCATGGAAGGCTGGCCTTGCCCTTGCACAAGCCAGCCCTAGCTGGCTCCTCCCCCGTCAGCAGCTGCAGCCTGTGGGTATGCCACATGCCGGGGCTGGCAAGCAGCAGGCAGACCCTGCAGGTAGGTCAGGGCTGGGGCTTCGGGTCAGCTGGGACTCTGCTGTTGCCTTTTCTCAGGAGCTACAAAGATCTCTTTCTCCTCTGATGCTGCCACAGCCCAGCAGCCTCACCCCTGGCCCCATGTCTGGTGCATCTGGAGGGGCAGCTCTGTGCCTTACAGGCTCTTGGTGGGCAGAGACCTCGACCACCTGTGTGTGCTTTCGAGGGGGAGGAGCCATCGGCTTAGTGTCCTCTCTGCTGGACTGTGATGTGCTGCCTGGTACCTGCATGTGCTGGTCACTTCAGACACTTTGGGGGCGGGGGGGCTGCAGTCCACGCTGTGCCTTGGGAGGAATGCTGCTCCATGCTCTTTCCCTTGGAGTCTCAGATGGGGTGTGGTGGGAAGGCAGGATGCAGGGATAATGACTGTATCCTGGGTTTCTCTTTTCCATAAAGTAAATAATGGTGATTTGTCAATAAAGCATTTCTTTGGGGGAAAACAGACTTCAGCTCATGTGATGTGTCTTCATTCAGGAAGGTGGCGAAAGAGTGGCCAGGTAACCAACCATATCCCCAACTGACCATAACCCCAACCATATCCTGTTGTCAGGAGCCTGCACCTTGGGGAGAGGCAGGCAAGAGACAGGATCTCAAATGCAAATTTCAGATCTTCAGTGCCATGAGAGGGTGTGTTGACAAAGCTGGGGGGGGTTCTCTGGGGAAGGGGTATGGAGGATGGGGAGGAGCCAGCCAAGCTACAGTGAGTCCAGGCCAAGCTTCCAGAGCCATGCAGGTGGGCACTGTAGCAAGAGGGTGGCAGGCCAGCCAGCATTCACACACTGAAGGACTTGGGCCTGAACTCCTGAGGTTGTCCACTTGCAACTCTTAACAGCCGTGGTGGTACAGGAAGGGCATATGCATCCTTGACAGGTTGGACACCAGGCCGGCTCAAACCTGTTCCCTACCCAGACCCCACCTATCTTCCAATAACTCTTCACCCTCCTAGTGCTTTCTTCATGCAGAAACAAACACATGTGAATGTGTATTCTCATTCTCTTGCCATTCTTAACACTTCCTGTGCTCTGCTTTTCTCTCTTAATGCTGTGCCCTGGAGTGGTGGCTGCACCTCCCCGAAACTTCTGGGAGAGCCTCCGTTTGCACTGTCCCAGGGCACCATGCAATGCCCTTTCTGTCTTGGATGTGCCCAGTGGGAAATCGTTTTACTGAGAGCACTGGACCTCCTTTGGGTCAGAGAGCACGACTTGCCCCAGATGCAAAGGAAGGGAAAGTGAATGACTTCAAATTGTATGTGAATTGTATATGACAGCATGGCAGTCCACACCACACAGCGTGAGGTGTGAGGCTGTGCCAAGTGGGGTAAGCACCTTCCTCCACTGCCTGTGGTCAGCATTTACCCTTGCTGACGATGAAATGGGTTCCAAGTGGTCTTCATTTATTTAGTTATTTAAATGTCTTGTGGGTAAGAGTTTGCTAGGCCTTGTGGGGGACAAGGATGACCTTGACATGGACCTAGCCCTCAGGTGGCTCCCCTAAAATAATTGACCCATGAGATGAGCTTTGAGAGCTTGAAGGGCTGTAGCAAGTGGTGGGGCTGGCATTGGAGGGCAGCTGTGGCAGTTGCTTCCATAAAGTCCCAGTTTCCTGTCAGGGTGAGGATAAGAGTGCCCCCCTGACCTCACTAAAGGGCCTGTGAAGGGCAGGACTGGACTGCAGCCACTGTCCACAGTTGATGGTATTCCTGTTTTTTTATCTCCAAACAGGCTGACTTATTTTATAAACATATATGGCATGTGAGAATTCTACCATTGAACCACCCATGCACCTTATTTTTTATAAACATATTTGTAATAATGTACTTTTAACATATGCATTTTGCTCATTTTACTTTCAGGAGCTCTTAAAAGAATTTTCAATGTTATTAAGTAACTTTGTATACATTTTATAACTGTATTGTTCCATTTGAATGTCTTGTAGGTTTCCATTTTTACTATTATAAGAGCAGCTTAGTGATATACCTTTTTCTGTATTTGGGAATATTTTCTTAGACTATTCCTAAAGAGGAATTAGTAGGTCAAGGAGAAACTCACTAAGGCCTGCTTCATTCATTTCTGCAGTGCCGAACTCAGCTTCACTCTGAAATTGGTACCGGGTCCATTTGATTCTCTCATTCCTTCTGTGATTCTGCCTGGAATCTTTCATCCTCTTGAATCAAAGGACATAGATATGAATCTGGCCCTTCTGCTTCTCGGTTTTCATAGGCCTTTTCTTTCTGCCTGTTTGATGTTGCACAATTTAACGACTGCCAGGCGACTTCCTGAGCTCTCTGCCACTTACAGGCCCCAAGCCTGGGACAGACTGAGCAGTTTAGAGCCAGCATGATGGCAGAGATGTAAGAGGACAGAGGTAGAGGGGGCTGGAGCTTGGTGGCAAAGAGTCTGGATTTTACTCAATGTGTCATCAGAGGAGCCTGGTGGACTACAATTCATGGGGTCGCAAGAGTCATACATGACTGAGCAACTAACACACACTATGTCACAGGGAGCCTTGGATATCATAAAATTTCTGTGTTAAGAATATGACTCCGCTGAGTGGGAAATGGCCATTGGGCAAATGTGGGGGTGAGGAGGCAGAGGAGTACTGACCAGTCTGTTGAATGGCTTCTAGGATGAAAACTGGCACACATAGCAGTGTACCAGGTACAAAGCAGGCACTCAGTAAATGGTAGAACTGTTTCTGACATAGGAGCGATAGGGAAGGGTAGAGAGCAGGTCTCCCCTTCCTCAAGGGGTCAGTGAGATGAGCAGGAGTCGTATCTTGGGTGGCAGGGGAGTGAGTGGAAGTTGGTTCAACTGCCCTTTTGAGTCATTGTTTGCGGGTGGTTCTGGGAGGGGCTGGACAATGGCGGTGGCACTTCGGTGATTGGGCAGGCAGGCAGGAAGTCGCATCTCTGCGCTGCAGGGATGAGCAAACGTCAGTCCCTAACAGTGGCTCAGGGACCGTCGGCCTCCGGGTCATCTCCCACCAGCTCCCTCTCCAGTTCTTTGACTAGATCAATTACGATTTCTCAGTCTTACGTAAAGTATGGGGCAAACTCAACTGCAAGACAAGTCCCCCCACCTCCCGCCTTGGCGAATCTGGCCTCAGTACCTGCGGGCGCACGGGAGAGCACCTGACGCTCCGGCGAGCAGGCCCCGCCCCCGCCCTTGGTCCGGCCCCTCGGCCCCGCCCGTGCGAGGCGGAGGAAGCTTCCGAGTCAGCTGTGCGAGCTCCGCCCACAGGTCCTGGGGCCCCGCCCATGGGCTGTCCGGGGTGCGCTCGGGAGCCTTGGTCCACTCCTGTCACTTGGGGCTCCGCCCCATGGGGCGGAGCCTCCGCCCAGCGCTCTGGGCGCACGCGCCGCCTGCCCAGCCGGCGGCTCCGATCCGCTGGCGCCCACGTCCTCCCGGGAGCGCGCGCGCCGGTGCGGGTGCGTGCGTGAGCGTGCGCGCCCCCGCCGCTTCTGCCGGTGCTGCTCCCGCGCCCTCTGCCGCTACCCCCGCCGTCGCTGCCGCCGCCGGGTCCCGAGGCACAGACCCGGCTGAAGAGCGCGTCGGCCGGCTGCCCAGGAGCGCCGCGCAGGGAAGAGCGGAGCCGCGGAGTCGGCGGGCGGGCGGGCGCACGGACAGGTGAGCTCGCGGCGGGCCGGCGGCCTCACGTCAGGCCTGGCGGCCGGGCAGGCGGGCGGGGGTCGGGGTGACGGGGGCGGGTTAAGCGAGCGGGGGCGGAGCGCGAGGTGAGGGTGACGCGGGGCCGAGTGAGGGGGTGCGGGGTGGCGCGGCGCAGGGCGTCGGGGCCGCGCGCCCGCAGCCGGAAATGGCGGCGACCCCCTCTCCCCTTTCCTAGCCCTCAGGGCGGGCCGGGGTCGGCGGTGCAGCCGCAGAAGCGGCGGGAAGGCCTAGGCCGTGCGCCGTGGTCGGGGCGCCGGGGCCGCACTGGGGGCGGCCAAAGACCTGACATGCGGCCGCCGGGCGCCCCTGGGGCAGCTCGCGCTCCGGGACTGGGGTCTGTGCAGGGCGCCCCCGCCTTGGGGAGGGTCTTTCCTGTCCTGCGGGCGAGAGGGGGAAAGCCACCGGTCCTGGAGCCACGTAACCTGTGTCTGGGTCATTATGTTTATAGCTCACGGAATTGAGCTTTGTTCCTTGACGCGGTGTAAATTAATCTCCTGGGTGAAAATCATCCAGTTTGTAAGAAAAAAACGTTCTTTCTGCCTCGCCAGGGCATCATTTGAAGCAGTGCCTGTGTTGCAGTCATAGAAGAGAGGGTCAGGATCTCATCCCTGCGGGTTCGAACTTGTTTGCGTTGAGGGGCTGGATTAAGGACTCGCCTTTTCTTGTGCCTGAGAGATGAGTTCTCAATATTTGCTCGGTTGTGCTATGCAGGGAAAGGAAACGAAAGTTTCCGTTTTATTTTGGTTTCCAGGTTTAGGCTTGATAGGGGTCATAACTTGAAAGGTGGCTCTGCTGGACACCTTTGTCCTTGCTAGTTGTCTGTTTAAAAACTATCTGCTAACCTAACAGTTATTCTGCCCCATCTATAATCTGGTTGCCTCAAGGCGGAACTTCAACCAAAGCTCCTGAGATTTTATGTTCATTTATTTGCTTCTGTCTTGTTAAACGTGGTGGTGAGTTTCAGGATCAAGGCACCTGCCAAACTTTGAGGGATGAAATTATGAGGCAGGACTCACAGGCTTTGAGAAACTTCCTGCCTGAGAGCTGTGCAGTTCTTCTTCCACCTGTGTCAAGGTTGCAGAACTTGGGTCACCTCCGATGGCACCTCTGATGGCATGTGGCCAAGCCAGGAGCTGGGTGGCTGTTGTTTCCAGCAGCACGGGGCTGTGAGGGGCACACATGCTGCTGGAGCCCCTTGCCTGGACCTCTTAAACGTGGTGAAGGCAGAGCATCCAGGGGTTATCTGATGAACAGACACTTGGGAGGCGCATGGAGGAGACTCGGCTTTGCTGAGGGGGCCCCAACTGTGGAACCATTGTGGCCTGGGATGGAGACCCTTGTGGGCAGAGATGCCTGTCAGTCCACTCCCAGCCTCTGTAACCAGTCTCCTCCCTCTGGCCCCTGTCTCATTCTGACCCCTTCCACAGTGGCCTCTCAGCCTGTCTCTTGGCAGACTTCCTTGCTCCTTCCTGGCTCTACCTAGATCACTGGCGTCCTTACCTTTAGCCTCAGGGCAGGTAGCCCTTCCCCAACTGCCTGCTTGCTGTTTCAACTCAGTTCACTTCAGTTGCTCAGTCACGTCCGACTCTTTGCAACCCCGTGAACTGCAGCACACCAGGCCTCCCTGTCCATCACCAACTCCCGGAGCTTGCTCAGACTCATGTCCATCAACTTGGTGATGCCATCCAACCATCATTCTCTGTCATCCTGTTCTCCTCCTGCCTTCAGTCTTTCTCAGCATCAGGGTCTTTTCCACTGAGTCAGTTCTTGGCATCAGGTGGCCAAAGTATTGGAGCTTCAGCATTAGTCCTTCCAATGAATATTCAGGACTGATTTCCTTTAGGATTGACTGGTTTGATCTCCGTGCAGTCCAAGGGACTCTGAAACGTCTTCTCCAACACCACAATTCAAAAGCAACTCACCACCTCCTGTTCCCTGTTTCCCTTCCCTGCTTAGTTTTCCCACCACACTTCATTTTCCTAATGTCCTACTTAGTATATTTATTATAACTTAATCTTTTACTGTGAGGTAAAGTCCACAGGGAGCCTGTTTGTGCAGAGAACAGGGGCTGGCACGTGCTGCATGCCCGGGAAATACTGACAGAGAAAGTGGAGGTGATGAGCTTAGCAGCAGCACAGCAGCCCGCGTCTCTGGGAAGTCACTGTGGTGAGTGCCGAGTCCTTGAGGTGCTGGCTTCTGAGGGAGGTTTAGAGGTGGGTCAGAAAGGTCTTTGGACCTCCTTGTAAACCTTTGGGCAACTTTTAGTCTGTAGTTAGTCCAAAATAAAAAGGTTTTTGTCAGCTTTTGTCTTCAGTTAACTTCCCTAAAAGTAAATCCCACACATTAGCCTCAGATACTCAGTGACATTTGTTGATAAAATGAGTGAGGTGGAGTAACCCGTTAAAACCACATGAAAATGAGCTGTTCCTCAGGCCTGCTCTGAATCCTTCTACGTGACCGAAGAACTCAAGTCATTTCCAGAACCTTCACTCAGTGAGTTTATGTTCTTGGTTTTCATTCACTGTGTTACCGGGGCTGAACAGATACCACGCATCTCTTGGCTCTTTGTGTTCTTGAGCCCCCGTGCTCTCAGAGGGTGGGTGCTCTGTGCTCCAGGCTGAGCTACCCTAAAGACTAGTGCTAAAAAGAAAAAAAAAAAAACAGACTAGTGCTTTGCTCCATCTCAGTCCTGGACTTGGAGTCAGGCCTGTGTGTTGGTTCCTGTGCTGACTTCCCTGCTACCACCAGGCAGAATTGCTGGCACGCTGCTGATGGCGCATCTCAGAGCCTAGGCATGACGTGCTTGCCTTGGTCATGGGCTGTAGTCGAAGCTCAGTGGGTATCAAATGAATGACTAAAGTGCTGTGCAGCAGCTGTGCAGAGGGTAAGGAAACAAGGTGGAGTTTTATCCAAGGTGAGAGTTTGCTTCTAAGTTCAGGGAATAAAATGAGCATGATTTGTACAAAAAATTTATTGGGGTGTAATTGGTTCTACAAATGATTTTTTTTTGGGCTATATGACAGGGTAAGTGGGATCTTAGTTACCTGACCAAGGACCAAACCCACATTCCCTACAGTAGAGTCTCAACCCCTAGACCCTTAGGGAAGTCTGCAAATAGACACAGATATAATCACCCTTGAAAAAAATTCCCTAACTCCTTTTAAAAGTACTTTGTACAAGGTTTGGAGTGTATAGTGCTGTAGATGAGCCATATCTCAGCCAATGAGGTTAGCCAGTTTTCCAGGAAGGAGACAAATTCCTGTGTCTTTGGGGGACAGGTGTAGCATGTGACAGCCAGCTCTTGCACACGCAGTGTGGAAGAGACTCTGAGCTCTTGATGGCGCCCTTGTGGGTCTCCCGGTGCTCCCCACACAGCAGTTAAGGCTGCAGTGCTTCCCAATGGAGCTCCTTTTTATGTTCTTGTGGGCTGGGCAGAGCAGAGCATTATTGAGCTGCAGACTGCCTCCTGCTCCCTCACAGTCCTTCCTGTCTGTGTTCGCAGGGCCTGTGCTTGAATTTCCTTCCTGAAAGTGGACGAAACTCAAGCTCAAGTGCTTGACCACTGAGATGAGGGTCATGGAACCTGCCCTTACTGCCTGTTGGGGAATACAGGAGATATAAGTAGGAAGCTGTGTCCTCAGCTGCTTCCTAAATACAAGTGACAAAGATGCTAGAAAATGAGACTATTCATATTTTATGAAGATGCTACCCCTTATTTAAGAGAGGGAATGAGGGAACTTGGCGGTCCGTGGTTAAGACTCCACGCTTCCAGTGCAGAGGGCATGGGTTCCATCCCTGGTTGGAGAACTAAGATCCTGTATGTCAAGAGGGGTGGCCAAAAATGAAAAGAAGGAACTGTTAGGCCTAATGTCCTGATGGCAGGGCCACGCTCGGGTAGTGACATCGCCCGAAGAGGATTAATAGTGGTCTGTTACTGGTCAGTCGAAATTCAACCCAGAAGATTTAAGGATTAGATTACCAAAACAGTCTTTAGTTTCGATTTTGTCTTTTGTCACCTTTGCACCAGTTTTGTTTGAGGATGTTATATCAGTGAAATGGTACGTTCTGCCTTAGTTCTTGGCACTGGCAGACATTTAATAGATTTTGTCTTTAGCAGGTAAGAATTGTTTCCAATTCCAAGAGTTTTGCAGACATATTGGTAATTCACATTGGTGAGATCATGCATTCAGTGGATGTCATGAAAATGTCCTCATGTTTCCTTTTCAGGGGTTGTCTGTGTACTTCAGAGGTCCACTTTACTCATGAATCTTTCACCTTTGTAGGTGCGTCCATGTGACTGGTTTTTAAAACTTGGTTCTGTGACAGAAACCGTAGTCTTTTATTCGTGACACATTAAACCCAAGTAATATTTTTAAATTGTGTGATACCTTATGAGTGATCAGTGAATATTCCTTGACTGTATGAGTATAAATGAGCCTTATTCATTATGAGTTACTTACAATTTTATTGTCCTTTTAATTTTTCTACACTGAACACAGAGCACCGGAAAACATGGTGGTTTACAAAGTGGGATGTACAGTCTCAGTTGCTGTGTTCTAAGGAATTCTATGCCAATTGGTTATAAAGCTGCAGTCCTGAGAGTCAGAGGATTGGAATGCTGACTTGCTACCCCTATGGGCTCTGCCCCGCCCTGGCTATCTCTGGGATGACCAGCCTCTTTCTTAGAGAGAGCTCTGCCTAGAGCCCTGTGCCTCTGTTCTCTGGGCCGGTGGAGTGGAAATGTGCTAGACTGAACTCACCTGTCCCGGCCTGTGGTGCCTCAGAGGTAATGAATTGGGGGCTGGGGGCCAAGACCTTGAGCCCCTGTCACAGCCTCAACTCAGCCAGACTGGGCTCTGCACAGGGAGTGTGTGCCACCCGCCTGGCTTTTAGTTTCCCTTCTATTATTGGAAGGGATTAGCAGCATAGCAAATGTTTGATTTTTAGCTAGGCGGTCC